TTTTTTTTTTTTTTTTTTTTGGTTGGAGGGGGTGGAAAATACGGTATTGCATAACTGAGGGAATGATGCTCTTGTATTCCTGTTTCCAGGTGAAATTCCAGCTGTGCCATGGGTTTAGGAGCTGGGATTTGGCTGTTCTCTGATTGTTTACACATCTTCAACCCCAAACCCCTCTGTTTTTCTCTAAGCCTGCCATGTGAAATGCTTGGAAATAAATTATTTACCACAAGAACACTGATACTACAGCACAGCTTGTATTGCTTTTTCCCCCCCCCCAAAAAGAAAAAAAAAAAATAACAATTATGACTCTCCTGCCTTCAGAAAATGGATAAAGCAGAGATGCTCGTGGTGAGGGAGGAATGAGAGTCCTGGGGAGGTGAGGATGGCCAGAAATTCTCCTTTCACCTGCAGGAATTTGGGGTTTTTGTGCCCCAAATGCTGACACTGCTCACGGGTTCCAAGGATTAGAATGTTTAGACACAGTGATCTCATTGTGCCACCTGAAATTAATTGTCATTTACAGTGCCAGCAGCATTGGAAAAAACATCCATCCTGCTCCTGGTTTTCCTAAAAAAAAAAAAAATAAAATAAAAAAAAATTCCAAATCTGGCTTGTGTTCGATTCTGACTTTATTATTGCTTTAAAGGCTGTAAAATTCCTCACTGAGCTCCTGTTTGTGCCCAAAGCCATTCCTAGGGAAGTTTTTAGTGTGAGCAGCCTGGCAAAAGGTGAAAAACTTTAAAAGTATAAAATAATCTGGGCATAAAGTAGGGGGAGCCCAAATTTTATTGCATCTGCCCAGAATATTTTACTTAAAGTGTAAAACACTGGCTAAAGATTTCCCAAATCCTAAGTTGCCTTTTTTTTTTTCTCATGCAGCTGTATTAAATCAGTATTTAATATTTAATCTGTATTCCAAATATCTGTGATTTTGATAGGAAAACTGTGGGGTTTCCTGATATCATAATAATAATAATAATAATAATAATAATAAGTTGGGCAAAGATGTTTGGAAGTTGCTGCTGGGTGGGGGAGCAAAAGTGTATTCCAAGGTGAAATTCCCAGTCTGGATGTTATTTCAGAGTTAAAATGCTGCTTTTTGGGTATCCTGGAAAAATCAAATTCCCAAGAAATCATACAGGAGATGCAGGGACAGCATTTCCTCTGTATAATAATAATAATAATAATAATAATAATAATAATAATAATAATGGTCAGTGTAATAGGATGTTTGGGATATTTCCCTCATTTTTCCCTCACATTTATGGATGATTGGTGTCAGAACAGGCTGGAAAATGGAGAGGCTGCCTGAGTCCATGGATGCAACTCCACAAAAAATAAAGGCTTCAAAAAATAAAGGATTGGCCATTAAATATGCTTGGGGAAAAGTGCTTCAGTTCCCTATTGCTCAGATAATTCCCAGAATCCCAAACCTGCTTTGGGTTGGAAGGGACCTTAAAAACCATTTTGTTCAAACTTCCCTAGGACTGAGCAGAGCAGACACAGGAGCTGCCCAAACTCCATGAAATCCAGGAATTTTTTTTTTTCCCTCAAATCTTTGTTGGTGGTTCTGGAAAAGTTTCAGCTGCACCCAGCAGGATTTTGTTTTCCAGATTATCCTGCAGAGCTGGACACAGCAGATGCCTGGAATTTTAAATTACCTCAGGAAAATCCAGATTTATCCACCTGCTCCCCCAAGCCGTGTCCAGTCAGCACTGTAAAAATTAAAATCACTTCAGCTCATTGTGAACTGTACACATCTTTTTCTCTGTGAGTTTCACGAAGGCCATTTATGAATTTATTGGGCACAATGGGCAGCAGCTCTGGGCTCTGCAGTGACCAAATTCCAGCAAATTCTCACTTGGAATTTTGTACAAAGGCCTAAAATCCTGCTTGGGGAGATGAAAGGCAGGTGAGGTGTTTTTTTCTAGTACAACCACTGACTAAATGCTTCTCTGTGTAAAACAAGTATCAGCTACATTAGCAATAAATTCATGTTAATTAAAGCTGGGCTGTCTCGTAGACACAAAATTCCCTTTTTTTTTTTTTTGGGTGTTTCTGCAGCCAACACTGCTCAAGCAGCACTTGAATTGTGACTTCTGGATTCTAAAACCTTCACGGCATTTTTAATTTCACCTCTGGTTTATGGTTTTATGCTTAAATGGTTTAACCCCGCACCAACAGCAGCAGTGGGAGTTGAAATCCTTTATGCTGGGGCTGCTGTGGGATTTGTGGGGAATGTCAGGCCGGTAGAAGGAGCCACGGTGCCACCAACCTGGCTGTCCCCAACTGGCAGGGACAGGCTGGGACAGCCACAGCCCTGCCAGGAATGCAGGGGGGGGACAGGGATGGATGAAGTCCCTGGTGAGAATCCCCAGGATTTCACAGGGGAGGGAGCTGGGACACCCCGGGGACAGCCTGGAGTCCCCAGCACCGGCTCGGGGTCCGTTCTGTCACCTTGGGCCACCTGGAGGATGCTCTCCGGCAGCCACTCCACGCCCGGCGCTGTGCCCTGAGCCTCCAGCTGTCCCCAAGGGCTCGGGGCCGCTGAACCCGGCAGGGTGAGCGGGCAGGAGGAGCTCCCAGCTGTGCCAAAGGCGGCAGCTCCCTGGTTTTGGAGAGGAGAGCAGCAGTGCTGCAGCCCCTGTGCCCCGGCCAGGGGGATTTTCCTGCCTCCAGCACCTGGCAGCCCTTCCCAGGTGGAGCACGGAGTGTTAAGGCAGTGGGAGAGCCCTGGGATGGGCAGCTTGCATAAGCAGCACGTCCAAGGAATTCATCTCGTCAGCCTCCGGCCGTGTCACCGCAGAGTTTTGGCACGAAATCAGCACGGCTGGAAAGTCGGGAACGCCTCGATTTGGAGGGAAAACTTCCAAACCTTCCAGCTGGGAGCACAGGTAGGCACTGCACGTGGATGTGGAGACCACACAAAGCCCCTCACCTCCCTCAGTCCTTCCTCTTTTAAACCTGAAGCGGCTGAAGCTCCTTTTTAAAAAAAGTAATGAAAGCAAAAATCCCCGGGCTAAGCAGAGCTCACTGGCACGGGTGGCTTTGGCCAGGACAGAGGGGGCACAGGAAGCTGAAGGTGCTGAAGCTGCTGCAGCCACTTGGAGGTGACACAGGGCTGGTGGGACAGGCTGCAGTGACAGGGAATGATCCTGGAATTGTCCAGGCAAACCTGCAAACAAACCACCCCTGCCCCGCCGTGCTTGCCTCAATCCCGGGAGTGCGGCTCTCTTCCAGCGTGAGCTGCTCTCCCTGGGCCCCCTCCGGGCTGGCAATTCCTGCCAGCTCCTTTTCCTGCCTGTGCCGGGGCTGGAGGGGCAGCCAGCTGTGCTCCAGAGGTGATGGATCCCTCAGGAATGCTCAGTGACCTTGGGATGCTCCGTGCAGCCAGCAGCTCGCATCCCACAGCTGTTACCTGTCCCGTTTTCCTGGGAATGACTATTCCTGCAGCTGCTCCAGAGCCTGCCACGGGTTAGGGGACACAAAGATCCCTCTCTTTTAGGGCTGCTGCCTGCAATTCCCCTTTTCCCAGGGAGGCAGCTGTGCCCTCCAAAGGAAAGGCACAACAGGAATGTCCCCAGTGAAGGACACAGGGAAGGCAAACTCCACCACTGAGCTGAGCCTGGAGCTGCTGCAGCGCTGCTGCTGTGCCATTCCCAGCCCAGCATTCCCACGGAACCATCACCCCAGGGCTGCATTTCTGATCTCAGCTACCTTTTCACACCGGAACAAACTGAAGCACTCTGCAATTATTCCCATTTCCTGTTGGCTGCTAATTGAACAGCCAGGCTGCACCTCAGACCCACTGAGGGCACTGTGCAGGGCATGGAAAATGGCAGGAATTCCCATCCTCTGGGAAAGGAGCAGGGCAGGCTGAGCTCCGGGGGCTGCTGGACACTTCCCAGGGGCTTTCCCTGGAGTTCAGGATGAGCAGAGGGATCCCAACACATTTTGAACACCACCAGAGCCAATTAAGGGCTGAGAGTATCCCCAGACGAGTTAATTAAGGGAATAATTATCCCTCTCTGTTAGGGGAGAAGTGACCTAGGGACAAAACTGGAAAGACAAAGATGGGGATTCCTTCTCGAGCAGAAATTTGTGCTCTTTGATTTTTGCCTTGAGAGACCCCGACCCCCTCAGCAGCTCCCCAGCACAGCTCAGCCTCCCCCCAAACCCCTGCAGGTGAGCTCTGAGTGCCAGGCAGCTGGGAAATGAGGAATTTTGGACTTTCCCAAGGAACAGGCAGTGCCAGGTAATCCATCACATCCCTGACCCACCTCCAGACCCAAACACAGGCAGCCTCCAGCACCCTGAAGGCTTGAGCAGATTGTCCAGGACCACGTTCTGGGGCAGATCCCAAGGACTTTTGTCAGGCAGGATAAGGACATCCAAATCCCATCCAAATCCCATCCAAATTCCATCCAAATCCCATCCAAATTCCATCCAAATCCCATCCAAATCCCATCCAAATTCCTGCCTGCCCTGTCCCTCTGCCAGCTGCCACCAGAGGTGCAGCAAACTCCAACTGTCCTCATTCCAACTTACAGCAGTCACAGATCCCAAAATACAATTAAATACTGAAAGTTAGACCTAAACATACTTTTAAAATCTAGATTTAACACAACCTTTCATCTCTACAGTGCATTGATGCTGCCTGGCATTTGCATGTCACCCCAAAAGCCGTTTCCAGAGGGGTCTGCCCTGGGATTGACACCACAAATCCATCTGCAGGGGTACAAGGAAATCTTTCACAGCCCTGAATCCCAGCTAGGGTAGCTCTGAGGAACGCTTGGATGAGGTTCCCAACAGTCACCAGTGAAATTCATTTCCTCTCACGTCACTTTCCAAGTCTGTGCCACAGAAATAAGGTCAGGGTGATTCTCGGTGAAGGACAGACATTCTGCTATCCCAGCTGAGCTCTGTTCCCATCCAGGAGGTTCAGGACTCCCAGGATTTTGCTGAAGTTCACCATTACTTGGTTTGGATACAATATGGCCTAGAAGAAGTGTCCTAGAGTAATGCACAGCCTGAATAAACGTGGTGCTTCAGGAGCTCTGCCTACTCACATGCTTGGCAGGGGCTTATTTTGGGGAGAGGTGGAACAAAGCAAGAGCCAGCAGCGGCAGCAGGCTGAGAGTTGGCTCCTCTTCCTCCTCCACATCACAAACCCCTCTCCTGTCCACCCTTCTCACTGCAGGTTAGAGATGAGGAACGTGAGAGCAGCGTGTGAGCAGGGACACCCACGAGGGAAAAGCAGCAGCACTGCCCTGACCCTGCCGTGCCCCTGAGAGGAGAGGAAACAAACCAAAAAATCTGCGCAGGACTGGGAAAGAAAAGTGAGAAATGGGTTCCTAAGGAGCAGCAGGGCACGGGAGGCAGGGGACACGGGGACAGAGTGGGTTGTTTTTTTTTTTTTTTTGTGGTTTCTCAGCATGGATTTGTGGTATTGCTCCTTTTGTCAAGCCAAGAACAGAGCGCAGAGAGATCCGTTCCTCCCGCGAGAGCCCCGGCGCCGTTCCTAGAGCTTCCTACTGCAGAGAAACTCTTCTGAGTCCTGACGGGGGCTCCTCACTGCTGCTCCTCAGCTTTGCTGCTATTCCTGAACTTCACCACCATGACTGTGATGTTGTCGGGGCAGCCCCTGTAGAAGGATTGCAGCACGATGCTCTTGGCCCCGAAGTGCGGCTCGTCCAGGCGCTCCTTGATGAACCTCACGGCCTCCTCGTTGCTGAAGGCGTCCCACAGCCCATCTGAGGCCAGGATCATGAACTCTGGCTGCAGTTTGTCCAGGTCAAAGCTCAGGATGTCGGGGTCGGGGATCACCACGTTCAGGTTCTTCAGGGGGTAATCGCCCAGCGAGCGCGACATGGCCAGGATGCCCTGCACTCGCCACGAGCCATTGAAGCTGATGAATCCTCCTGGGGAGAGACAGCAAGGCTCAAAGCGGCTCTTTGGAACACCCGAGCAGATCTCTGCTTCCTGCCAGACCCCCGAAAAATTCATCCCGAGGGGTCACAGAGCTCAGAGTGCGGGAGGTGCCTTGGGCAGATCTTGGGGTGCTGCGGGGAAGAGCTGCAACAACCGAACCAGGAGGGGCTCTGCTTTGCACAGGGAATGGCTCTGCCTTCCCCAATAAATGGTTCTGGTCTCCCGCAGGGAATGGCTCTGCTCTCCCCCAGGGAATGGCTCTGCTCTCCTCCAGGAGTGCCTCTGGTCTCCCCCAGGAATGGCTCTGCCTTCCCCAATAAATGGTTTTGCTGTCCCCAATAAATGGCTTTGCCTTCCCCAATAAATGGCTTTGCTCTCCCCCAGGAGTGCTCTGCTCTCCCCCAAAGAAACCCCCAGCTTCTGGAAGAGCACAGGAATTCCTGTTGCACACAATTCCCCAGGAAACCCCTTGGAATTCGGCAGAAGGAAACGGTGAGAGTGAATCCTCACACCCCTGTGTTTGTTTGTGAGAGGAAGGGACAGGTGTTTATGCTGGTGGGAGCACACTGATACCCTGAGGGCTTTCAAATGTTTTATATTCATGGAAAAACTCATTATTCCCATTTTGGAGGGGAGAGAGGCCCTGCATTGCTGGGGCAGTGCTCAGTGGAGGGTTCACATAAACCACAGGAACTTCTTTTCTCCAGCACAGAATTTGCTGCTGCTGTGGGAGCCAAACCAGGAATGGATTCCAAAAAGACTTGGAGAAATCCAAGGAGAATTGGCTGTTAAAGTTCATGATCCCAGTGTAACTTCCAGCCCAGGGGGTGGCTAAAGTGACAAGTGATGAAAACAAAGAAAATTTATTGTGGCAAGGTTTCTTTCCCTCTACTCCTGCCACGATTTCCATGTTTGTGCTTTTAATTATATGGGAATAAAAACCAGCTTGGATGAAGTAAATTCATGCTCTGCAGATTTTAGCACTAAACGCCCCTCAGGCTCAGACCAGGCCTCTCAAAGCCAGGCTTTGGGCAGGGCTGGGGCTGAAGCTCCTGGGATGCTCCTGATTATCCATGTGGAGATCCCAAGGGATGCTCACTGGGCTGTTGAAGGAATTTGGGGTGGAAAATGGGAGATCTGATGTGATCACTCTGCCCTGGGACATCCCACTGGAATTTTGGGTGGAAAATGGGAGATCTGATCTGATGACTCTGCCCTGACATTCCACTGGGAATTTGGGGTGGAAAATGGGAGATTTCTTCTGCTGCCACCTCTGCCCTGGGACATCCCCCAGGAATTTTGGGTGGAAAAAGTGAGATCTGATGACTCTGCCCTGGGACATCCCACTGGAATTTGGGGTGGAAAACAGGAGATCTGATCTGATCACTCTGCCCTGGGACATCCCCCAGGAATTTTGGGTGGAGAAAGTGAGATCTAATCTGATCACTCTGCCCTGACATCCCACTGGAATTTAGGGTGGAAAAAGTGAGATCTCATCTGCTGCCACCTCAGCCGGGCACTTCCCACCCTCTCCTGGGAAGAAAAGCCATTTTTAGCAACAAATAAAAGATGAACATTCCAAGAACTCACCAGCTCTCTTGATCCTCTTCCTCTCCTTCAGCTGGTAGGGTTTGTGGTCGTGGGACAGGGGGATGGCATTGCCATCCTTGTCACACAGCACGCCCCTGGAGTCGCCCACGTTGGCCACGGTCAGCTCCTTGTCGGACAGGAGGGCGATCAGACACGTGGTGCCTGCAGGGACAGCAGGGAGGAGACACAAAACCCACGGGGAGGGTGAGAGGATATCCCTGAGCAGCAGGAAAATGTTCCTCCTGTCACAGAACCCACGGGGAGGGTGAGAGGATATCCCAGAGCAGCAGGAAAATGTTCCTTCTGTCACAAAACCCACGGGGAGGGTGAGAGGATATCCCTGAGCAGCAGGAAAATGTTCCTCCTGTCACAGAACCTCAGAGGGGGAAACACTTCCAGGACTGGGGAGTCCAAGCTGGGACCCTGTGAGCCCCACGTTATGCAGAGAGGCTGAAATATTTCTCATTTCCCATTTCCCTTCCAGTTCCCATCCCCTCTCACCCCAAACCAGCAGGATCCCATAGATATAAAAATATATATATATAGATAGATATAGAAATATATAAATGGATAGAGCAAATATCAGCTAAAAAAAAAAACATTCTGGGGCTGACACCTGGCTCTGGATGCAATCCCTAAATATCACTATCAATATCAATATCAATTCCTAAATATCACTATCACTATCAATCCTAAATATTACTATCAATCCCTAAATATCAGTATCTCCCAGGACTGCTTGACAGCAAGGAAAATGAATTCCATCTCTATTTTTTTTTATTTTTGTGCAATAATGAAACTCAACTTCTCCGGGACTCCAGGGGAAGAAGTGCCATCCATTAAAGAAAAAAAAAAAAAAACATTTCTCACAGGACAAAAACAGCTCCCAGCAGGCTGGAATTCCCTGGCACACCGGAATGAAATGCCAAAAATGCCTTTAAATAACCAAAAATTGCCACAGATCAGGCACTGAGCACCTCAGATGTTTAGGGATGCTGTAAATCAAAGGAATGGCATTAAGAGCCAGCAAATCTTTGTTGGGAGAAAATATTCTTGCACAAAATTAGCCCAGCCTTAGCCAGTCAAGAATGCCACTTTTGAAACGAAAGGATTTAGAGATTAGGAGAGGATTTGTCCCCATCTGTCACTTTTGGCCTCCTTTCATTTTTTAAAGCTTCCTCACTCAAACCTCACTGAAAATTCTTGCCAGCATTTGACTATTTCCAGACAAACTCATTTTATATTTGCAGCTCTGATGGATCGATTTCCTAAAGGCAAAGATTCACAAAAAAAAAAAAAAGGAGGGAAAGATTCACATTGGGATGTGGATCAAGGCTGCACTTTATTAATGAAAATTCTTGCCAGCATTTGACTATTTCCAGACAAA